AAGCCGCCGGTAGGGATTCATTATAGGGCCGCCTAACGGCAAAAGTCATCCAGTCCAAGTGTCTAACGGAATTCGTAATATAAAGTTTAGTGCTTGATTAATGCGTAGTAAGTGCGTGCTAAGTGCGCAGTAGGAAATAAATTAAAGCTGTTTGCGATTGTTTTAGTAATCTAAGAACGTAGGTTAGAAGGTTGCGAAAGCGACAAAAAGACTAATAAGAAAGCTTATACATCAAGAAAACCATTATAAAACTCCTACTGGCTAACGTAATCAAAAAGGTGTTTGGATAGGCGGAAAATCAACATACTGAAAATTTGCAGGTAGTTTTTACTATTATTAGTACCCTATTTCAGGCGGCCCCACTATGAATCCCTAACGAGCTTCTCTTTGCTCTGTAGATTTTGAACCGGTTTACAAAGCTGACCCCAACCTGGACTTTGGAGCTCTACTGGCTTCACCAAAACCAACTGCTCCAAATCGGCGTCGGGAAAACCAATCATCGAAAAGGCTTTGTGGTGTACGATTTCTTTCTATCACTAACGTGCTCGGTGAAGTATGTTCTGCACAATTAGTGGCATATTTTACAAAATATGACTACGTGGCTTAGGATTTGCATAGGCTCGGAAACGTTCCGGAGACACAGAGTAATGCTGCAGGTACCACGTAATGGTCTGTATGGCCTTCTGCATAATATCTCATTTGATACAAGTTGGATTTAGCAAAAACAGACGTAGATCTAAAGTCGGTTAGCGGATCTGATGCAGTTGCGGGCAAAGCAACTACCTGAGGGGAAACTGGAAGACTTCTCTGAATGCAAACTTTCAACAACGCGGCAGTAGTGCTGAGAAATGAAACCAAGTTGCGGCTCATTCCACGAGGCCCAGTCTCACATTCAAGTCCGAGAAGTCGGAACTTCTGGTGAGAAGTGACAATCGCGTGAGCAGCGAGTTGCTTGAGTCATGATTTATGGTTCCCCGTTCATGCATATGCAATAAAATAACGACTGCATCCTATAAATACTGCAACTCCCTGTGTACGAAGTACCCTTGCCTGATGCTATCCCGGAGCGTGAGTTGAGTGGGGATCTGAAACCTCAGGCGAATAGAGTTCTTGTTCCAGCGATCGCGTCTACTTCCTCATAATGGTCTCACCATTGGCTTATTCCTCCTCTTCTGAAAATGAGGACTTGCCCGTTAGTTCCAGCGAAGTAATTTTTTAATTCCGGTAAGTGACCAGTCGCAATCACGTCCCCTAGAAAAGGTTTTCCTTTGAAAATCGAATATTACTCTGTTCATGTAATACTCCTGATCTGAACAGTTTCAGTTTGCTATTTTTGCGTCCGGCCCATTCCCTTCTAGAATCCCACTCTTAACTGAACAAAATATACATTTAATTTTCTCCTAATGGAAATACTTCGCGGTGCGGCGTTTGCGACATTTAAGAGTTAATAGCTTTTTCACTTTTGATTTTGAAAGAGAGCGAGAGAGAAACGCTTTATTTTTAAAATATTATTCCAAAATTGCCAGCAAAATACGTTCTCCATTCAACATGAATAGAATAAGGCCCAGAAACCAAAATTGTCGATATCGTGGAGAAATGACCTTGGAAATGTCACAAAATATAGGCCAAATCGAACTTCCTTCAAATTGCCGCTAGCGTTGTGCGCTGATCAGCTTATTGTTGTAATTCGGATAAATAAGGAGGGGTACAAGTCGGCCTCTACTGGGCGTACTGGGCCAACCGATGTACATATAGGAACGTTTGCATGCGAATGGAAGGAAGAAAAAATGTAAGGTAAATTTCGAAATCCTGCGTTTTGTGAAAATAGCAAGGCCTTTTGCTTCTTGTAGTCATACCGAATAACTTCATACTATGGTTTTTTTTAATTTAAAAATTGCGTTTTCCAACTATGCGCTGCGCTTAATAAGTCGTCGTTATCAGCTTTTACTTATGACATACTTAAAATCTTTCTGCCTCCGTTGCGCCATGAGTTGCTTTCGGGTAATTAATTGGACAGTTTAGAAGCCAAGTTATGCATAACTAGCTTCGTTTTTATGTTTACACTAGCTACCTTTTCGTGTGTTTGTTAGAAACCCGCATTTGGGCGGTTCATAGAAACAAAATTAAGCGTTTCGGCTATTCAGCATTCGCAGTCATACGAAATGCGATCAACCGACTTCTACTTTGTCTCTCGCCACGTAGGCACCTGCTGCCTCTAACAGACTACATCTAACACATCAAAGACCATGTTAGTACTCACCTAAACGAGTTTTTATATTCGTTGACTTTTCCTAGGGCTGGGCCGGATTTCCTTCATCAAGGCGTAAACTGCCAGTATCTATCAGCAATTTGATGTTGTGGCTGTACCTGTCGACCGTGGACTGATAGACATTTCTCGCTCACTGTTTTGCTCCTCGTATGGATTTTTGGCATAGGGTAACGGCAGTTAGTGTTACGCTTCGTCTCCACGATGAAGAATGTCGGTAATCTTGCTTCCTCTTTCGGTGGGTTCGTTGCAGGACCGTCTTCGCTTGCATTTCTTAAGTTCAATTTGATCTTGTCCTGTCGTAGGACGTTTTAGGCCGTGGGGAGGTCTTGATGCCTGTTGACAGAATTGGCATCTGAGTATCATGTCTCATGCGTCAGTTTTTCCGCTTTTGAGGCGCATCGACCTACGATGGTTGCTTCCTAAATATCGAAGTTGTGTTGCAAGCTGCGAGTTTAGGTCAAGTCTCCGAGCCGCCAGTTTTTGTTCTTGTAGGCGGGTCTGCAATGATCGTCCCTTTTCTCCGACGTACTTGCAGTCACCATCGTAGCAACGTATCTTCCAGAGAATTGCGGAAGTTTCGGCAGGGGGCAGTTTACCTTTATAGTGCATCACACGGCGGCGTATTGTCCCCTGAAGACTCCTTTTATGTAGGGCATAACCCTTCAGAATTCGGGCTGTTGTCCTTTTTGTCGTCGTCTATTCACTCGGCGCTTACTTTGTTTGATAAAGGAGTTTGGGTTTCCATTAGCTCATAACAGTTCGTGAAGGTGTTGTTGTTCAGCTTTTCTGTCAGCTGGTGTACTGCAATTTGTTTAAACTCTTTTAACCTTGTATTTTTCAATACTAAAAGTGGTTCCAATTTCCTCGACCGTTAGGAGAACTTTGGAAAAGTATTTCCAGCTGAAGTCCCACCGTCAAATTCGACACCTTCGAGTGCTTGTACAAAGGCAAGCTCTGAACCACAGGTGGGTCATTCAATATGTGTGTTGGTTCTTCGTTCTTTTTCTGAAAACGTTCAACAAAGTTAGGAGCTAGGCTTTTATTTGTTAAGATACATACTGCTCTTGATGTTAACAGAATTCCCACATCTAATGAGATTGTGCCGAATTTCGTTGCCGCACGCAGGATCAATGTATTATGGTTCGGCTTGGTTCCTCGAATTCCCACGAGCCGTATGCTTGCCCGATTGTTGTCCCCCAAAGCACCAACACGGTACAGAAAGAGAGCATAATCGGCTACGATAAAATATATTTCAAAGCTGTAGATAAGTCTTAATGAAAAGCTGCGTGTATTTATTGTAGTCCGTTTTGATTGGCTAGATTCTGCCCCATACACTTCAATAGGAAGTTCTAGAAGGTCTAATTAACTGCTGACGATTATGGACTAGTCAGACGTGATGAGAACTCTGTGGTCACAGCCAATCCTGTACGTTGTCGAGCAGACGTGAGTAGCATTTGATGTTGAAAACGCGCGTGTGTGTGCTTTTCTGTGAATTTTACTCATTGCGCGGAACGGGGGCATTCCAACCACATTGCGATTACCACCTCTTGCCTATCCACCACTGTCTTTGTCGGCAAATACTGTTCGGCTTTTAACGCCTTAACGCCATGCGAGGGCAAAACGGACAGCTCCGGACAGCTCCTATGATCAGGCCAAACACTATACTCCATGTCCACGTGACTTTTAAGGATGGCTTAAATGGCGGCCTAAACTGGGCATAGGAACAGATATCGCCCACTATACCAATTTTTTTGCGTCAAATTCCAGGGAAATTACGGTTGGGATTGAAGTGACAGTTAAGGTTAAGTTTAAGGTTAGTTTTAAGGTTGGGGTTGAGGTTAGAGTTGGTTTTAGGGTTAGTGTGAATGTTAGGGTTCCCGTTTACGCTCAGTTTTATGTTAGGGTAAGACAACAAGCCCATGGCTCAATGGTAAGAGCGTTAGACTTCTGATCAAAAGATTGTAATTTCGAGCCTCGAAAGAGATACCACTTGGGATTGGGTATGAGCGGCTGATGACGACTAATGAGCCAGAAATGATAATTCCAGTCTTTCCTGTCTTTGCCCGTAATGTTCACCTGCCTAGACTGATAGCTGGCTGTGCGTCTGCTCGCGGGGCTCGAGAATGAGCCCTAGGGCAGAGCAGGACGAGTGAGTTGCGTTAGTTATCGGCGATCGTTCATAAATTAGGGTTAGTTTTACAGCTATGATACGGGAATATTTATGTTTCATGAAATTTATCATGAAACCACTTATTTTAGGTGGACCGGGCGTTTCGCTGCTCATTTTCTGTTTATACAGCCGTACACATCATTCTTACTTGAGTATCTACCAGACAGCACATGGGAACATTGAAGAGTCGGACTCCTTGTGATTATGCCATGTAGCGGTGGAATGTCGGTGAAGTATGTGTTTGGACCGTTGGCTGCTGATGTGCGTATTGCGTAATCTGCGCAAGCTGCCTGTTGGCGTTTAACTGAATCTAACACAGTTATCCCGGTGTGAATGATGGGATTCTGCCCAATCATTCAAACTTCACTATGCGCCTATAAAGTTTATTTCAGACTAATTTTTTTTCAAAGTTAGCGAATAATTATGGTACTGTTTTTCCATTCTTTAGCTCCAATCGCTTCACATCACTCAACTCGTGTGCGAGCCGCATATAACTCATCGTCATTCAATTTTGAGTAGACCCTAATTGTGAAAGACAGACGCGGCAATGATCGCTTTTGACTAACCACCATCCTCCTCTTCCTCCTCCTCCTCCTCCTCCTCATCATCATCATCATCATCATCGGTTAGCGTTAGATATGCGCAAAAACGTTTGGAACGGATATTTCGCTGCCACAAACTATATTTAGAGGTAACGCGGTAAGAATTTAATCCTCCTTACAAGGAGTGTTTATCAGTAATTACTGAGCCCCGAAATAACTGTCATTGCCTAGATACTTGCCAGCGAGAACAAGAAAAAATAAAAACTATCGCTTTTGGCTTGGCAACGTTTGTAATTCAATCAGACAACGAGAAACCGGAATTCAATCCCGTGTGCCTTTGCCCAAAACTACTTTAATTAATTAATTTACGGCTTAGTTTAGGATCTGTGCTCCGTCGGCTGCAATCGAAACTACTCAAGCTTCCACCACTCTAACCTTATTATAGGATGGAGCAATATCTGCTAAGTATTGCAGTTTTGGTGACGAATTCTGACAATCAATCAGGCGTTTGCGAGAACTCCCACCCTTTAGCTCTAATATTGGTATTGCTCTTTGTATTTCGACCATATTTTGATAATATACCACTTATGTGCTTATCAGTAGTACTGTAGATATCACCTGATAATTTTGCCAATATGGCTTATACCCCACTTTCATAATAAGTAGTACTACTGCCACTATTATTACTAGGCAAACTGATGGTAACACTACTATTACCCAACCACCGCTAATATTATCATCCCTGCCATTAAATCTGTAGCTATTCCCAGTATTGTTGTGACTATTAGTAGTTGTAATCCTTCCTCGGTAGCGTGGGGGCTGCCGCTAGTGCAGATATCTAATTATTCGCAGGTAAGAGTTCTTCGTATGGTCGCTCGATGGAAAAACCTACCTGCCCAAGTTTCTTACGGAAATCCTGGTTAAAGTTGAAGTAAAGGATGGGGCAAACCAGAAACCGTGCAGGTGAGCGAAAACTGCGCAATAAAAAATAAAATTAACGACACTTGTAATTGTATAACTTAACTGAAATATAAGCAGAAAATTCGAAAAAAAAATCAAAATAACCAAGAAAACGATAACAGCAACTCCTATTGGTTAGCAAAAGAAACCTATAGACCAAGAAAACTAGAAGACTCTTTTCTATTCGCAAACCTGTCCATCTTTGAGTAAAAATAATAGAAAAAAACTGCGTAGAACATTTTTTTTCATTCTGCAAATCGTATTATATCCCGCTTTATACCTTTGTTTCAATACTGCGAACCACTGACGCACAGCTGGGCTACGTGCGCTGTCGATGTTCGATTATGCTTACCACCTACGTTTTGTGCATTTTATTTATTTCTGTAAGAGCAAACAAACAACGTTATTATTTTGCCTTCTAAGGGACGACCGTCGACACCGTGTGAACACTTTGCCGATGAACATGCATTTACGCTGTTTGTTAACTATGGCGTTTTGGATGTACATTCCAAAGAATATAAGGAATTTAAATCCACACACCAACAGGACTGGTCCGGGTATGTTTACAAAAATTGAATATATGCATTTTAAGCAGATATTCTACTTTTTTATAGGTAGTGACAGCGGGTTGTCTTGAATCCTGGCACACGTATTCGCACTTACCTGTGTGCTTGCCTAGCGAAACATTTAAGCTAAGTCATTGTGAGGAATAGGTATGAGCCTTTGAGTACCCTGACAGTTTTAACTTACCATACTAACAGCCTAGGTACATGCTAAAAGGCCCAGACACGTCCTTCGCCATATTCTGCCGCTGCTTGACACAGCTGCGAGGGGTCCGGCTCATCAGTGGGTCTCCCAGCCTTCCCTATCTGCTTTCTGGTTGATATACCGACTTTGAAAGTTCAGCTTTTTAATCTCCTGAGAAATTAATTTCCGTTCGCGGTATATATCAGTAAGCTTTTTTAATCTCCAGAGAAATTAATTTCTGATCGCGGTATATATCAGTTAATTTGAGGTCTATAGGCGTAGACCGAAATTGTAAGTGTATATTTGTGTTGAAGCAGTAA